CAGTCCTATCCTTGAGTTCAAAGTGTGCTTAAAAATTTGGGAACATGCTCTAAACATGTTTCAAGCATGTGCTTTGCACGTCTAAAGCAGGGCTCCATATCAACGAAAGAACGTTTCACACATGTTCTCGACGTCTGGAAACTATTTGGCAACACGCTTCCTCTCCACTCCTCGTCCCCCACGCAGCGAAGCGTGCAGCCCGGAGCGCGAGCCCACGCCCCGAGGCGCCCACGCCGCGAGGCGCCCGCGGACGGGCACCCTGCGAGAGCCCAGGAGGCGCCCGCCAGCGCCGGGGCGGGCGGCCCGCGGAGCGCCATGGGCGGGCGGGCCGGGCGGGCGAAGGACCCGAAGAGGCCGGGCGGCGCACAGGGCGCCCACGAGGCTGCGTTGGCCGCTGCAGCAGGTGGGCGAGCAACGACATACGTAATTACATGCACGCCCTCCGCGGTCTTGCCTGCACGGACGTCCGCGTGGACACGCACGCCAAGGGAAGCTCACCGCGTGCGTGCACACATGTTGCTGGCCTCTGAGCAGGCTGCCCCGCCGGCGTCGTTGCAGGGGCTGCCGTGCTGTTCGTCATCGTCGCCGCGACGCGGTTGAGCTCTTCGCGAAGGCCCGCGCGGCGCCCACCGCAGCGGCGGAGAGGCGGCGCGGCGGGATCGCCACAAGGGGGGGGGTCACCGCCTCCCCTCGGGCGCCGGGAGCCAAGGGGGAGGGAGGGCCGCGCTTCGCGGCGGGTCTGCGCGATGTCGGGTGCCCGTGGGGGCCCCGCGTCGGACGGCGGGCGCCCCGCGGAGACGGCGCACGGGGCGGCCACGGGGGAGCCCTAAGTGACGCGTCGAGCCCTTCCCCCAAAGATGGCCCCCGATACCGCCCGTAGGCCCCCACGCGGCGAGGCCCCCAAGAGGCCGCCGAGAGGACCGCGAGGGGCCCCCGAAAGGGCCTCCCAGGAGACCCCAGGAGGCCTCTCTGCGACGCCCCCTGCTGACGACCCAGGTCACGGTGACAGGATGGACCGAAGGCCACTGAACCCGTCGCCCCCTTGTCGGCTTGCCAGGAGGGTGCCTGGCGGGCTAGATCCAACGGTCTTTGATCTCGGTGCTTTTCCAAGAGAGCTCTCCCTGGGGCATCGGCCCGGCGCGCCGGCTCCCGCGGGAAAGGCCCAGGAACGACCTCCACGTCCGGAAAAAATCCCCCTAAGACGGCTCAGGATGGTCACCAAGAGGGCCAAGATGGCCCAAGATGGCCTCCAAGTTCGCCCAAGATGGTCCAAGATGGCCTCCAAGACAGCCCAAGAGGGTCCAAGATGCCTCCAAGTCCGCCCAAGAAGCCTCCAGGACGGCCCAAGATGGCCACAAGATGGCCCAAGATGGCCCGAGAGGCCCCCAGGAGGCCCCCAAGAGGCCTCCAAGACGGCGCAAGAGGCCCCCAAGAGGTCCTCCAGAAGGCCCGAGGATGCCAAAATCATTGATTTCCCGACTGGTTGTTGAAGGATTTGGGCATGTGTTTCTCTCCAGTTTTCCGACGGCCCGAGACGGCCCAAAAGCCCCCAAAGATCGCCCCAAGATCGCCCAAGAGGCCTCCAAGATGGCCCCAGAACGGCCCAAGAGGCCCTCAAGACGGCCCCAAGAGGGCACCAAGACGGCCCAAGAGGCCTCCAAGACGCCAAAGATTGCCCTGGAGCAGCCTCAAGTCGGCCCAGAGAGGCCCCCAAGACGGCTTCCGACAACGTCAGACGGGCCAGAAGGCCACTAAGACGGCCCAAGATGGCCCCATGATGGCCCAAGACGGCCCGAAAGGTCCCCAAGAGGTCTCCAATACGGCCCAAGAGGCCCCCAAGAGGGCCTCCAAGAAGGCCCGAGAGAGGCCAAAATCATTGATTCTCCTTGGGTGACTGAAAATGTTTAGCTTTTCTTTTCGGCATTCCCACGGCCCGAGACGGCCCAAGAGTCCCCAAAGATCGCCCCAAGATCACCCAAGGGGCCCCAAAGATGGCCCCAGAACGGCCCAAGAGGCCCCCAAGACGGCCCAAAGAGAACCCCAAGAAGGCCCAAGAGGCCTCCAAGGGGCCCAAGATGGCCTCCAAGACGGCCCTGGAGAACCCGCTTCCGAGGGCGTCAGACGGACCAGGGGGCCACCAAGACGGCCCAAGATGGTTCCAAGATGGCCCACTGCCCAAGAGGCTCCCAAGAGGCCTCCAAGAAAGCCCCCAGGAAGGCCCGAAGATGCCGAAAGTATCGATTCTCTCTTAGTTTCTCACAGATTTGGGCATTTGCTTCTTTCCTGTCTTCCCACGGCCCCGAGACGGCCAAAGAGCCCCCAAAGATCGCCCCAAGATCACCCAAGGGGCCCCAAAGATGGCCCCAGAACGGCCCAAGAGGCCCCCAAGACAGCTCCAAGCGGGCCCCAAATGGCCCAAGAGGCCTCCAAGGCGCCCAAGTTGGCCTCCAAGACGGCCCTGGAGCACCCTAAGAGGGCCCCAAGTCGGCCCAGATTCCGACGGCGTCAGACGGACCAAGAATGCCCCAAGACGGCCAAAAAGGTCCCCGAGAAGACCCCCAAGGCCCCCAAGAGGCCTCCAGAGGGCTCCCAGGAAGCCCCCAGCAGGCCCCAAGAGTGCCCCAGGAGGCTCCCAAGATGCCCCCTCCGCATCCTCCTCCTAAACCATGGCACAGGGTCTCCAAATTGAAATCCAGAAGTGGAAGCATATACGATTGTGTTGATATACCAATAGTGTTCTTGTGATTGGCCTTGACCTTTTCAGGTAAGTATCGACAACACCTGATGAAACAGGTAAACAAAAATCGCAGACACAACAATTGATGAGCATGTTGTTGTAACAAGTTGGTTGGATATTTGACGTTATGCATGTGAATTAGCTGCATGCCTTCCATCATGTACATGTCAACCAGTCTATTTAACTGGGCGCATTCGCTTGCAATCATCAACTACACGTCGCGTCTAAATTACCAAAGAAATCGTGGTTATCTCGATAAACATCGTGTAGTTTTTCTCTGTGCACAATATGTGTCTGGTAAGTGTACCATTTCTGACGATGATTCTGCTGCGAATGAAAGAAAGAACCGCTTGAAATTTAACATTTGCGCCTGGTAAAAACGCGACGTGACCATTCATCTGTTGTGCATTGCACTTGTTCCCATATCGCTGTGTCCGCTTCATGCGAGGCTACCATCAGATGGCATTGGGGCGCTGGTGTTTCTGAAAGCATGTACGTTTTGTTTGCTGGAAGAGCAGGTTCGGCATTCGTTAGCTATTAAAATTTGGTTGTCTTTATTCAGGCTTCGACTTTACATGTTTCGATTGGTTTTGAGACTAACCAGTACCATTGTTATGAATGTTAGTTGCCATATTCTGAATGTCTAATTTGTTATTCGTTGTTCTGGTGAAGCAGGTTGGGCAACGTATTGTGTATTATAGTGGTTCGAGTTTACATGTTAGATTTGGTGTAATCTGATAACCATGTATCACTTGTCGTCGTCAACGCCCCGTCGATTTAGTTACGTTTCGAAATGGCGAAAAACAGTACGACGTATTGTTGGTTGGTTTTGTTTGAAATTATCATTTGGTGCTGCGTATGTTACCTTCAGGTATTATGTTTCGGTTTATGTAAACTCACACATAACATGCAGTCAACCCCGTTGCATTCAGCGTAGCAGTTTGAGCAATAGTTCAACATCCATTTGTCCATTTCACGTATTCAGAGTTTGCGTATCGATTTCCCATTCAGATTTCATCACTCTCGTTCTGAAAGTAGCCATTGTTTTGTTTTCTGACAGTGTTCTAATGCTCCGTGCGCAACAGGTGTTCTTCCGTGTTCTTGAAGCTATGATGTGTTATTGTTCGGTTATCGCAGTCAGGTTTATGTGATTGCGCAAATACAACTTTGGGCGCGTAGTTATACCTAATTTGGCAGGTCAATGTCTAGCAGTTCCAAATATACGTGTTCAGATCCGCTTCGAAGTAAGATTCAATGTGTCATTTGCTCGGCATCGCTTCAGAATTAGCAGCTTTTTCAATCTAACAATGTGTATGTCGTTTGCAGTTCAAGTTTCGAAAGATTTGCATGGTTTTCTATACGTCAATATGATTGATGTGTCGTTTCCTTTGTTGTGTTGTTTTGTCTGGGGGGAAATACGCGCACAGGTTGTTCATGGTTTAGGTTTGATTCCGCCGTTGAAACACACACACACTGACGTTAGGACATATGTTGATAGAGTTGAGCATATGCTTCCAAGTCGCTATACCTGTATAAGTATAAACACTATGTTGGTTTGAATGTGTTTTGGTATGGATACGTTGCAAAATAAGACTAGTTAGTTGAATCTAAAAAATATAGTAACACGGTATTTCGAACGCAAGGGGATCGCGATGTGTTTGCATGGATTACGGCTGTGGCACAGCCACGCTATGTTTGCGCCGCTGTGCGCCGAGCGACTTCATGCTATTAATTGTGTGGCTAGTTCTTTTGCGATTAATACTTGTACTACTCCTACTACTACTACTACTAATGCTGCTACTACTACTACGACTACTACTACTACTACTACTTCTTCTACTACTACTACTACTACTACTACGACTACTACTACTAATAATCATGACACTAATAAAAATCATACTACTAATACTACTAATACTACTGCGACTACCCTTTGAACTACTACTACTACTACTACTACTACTACTACTACTACTACTAGTAGTACGACTACTACTACTACTACTACTACTACTACTACTACTACTACTACTACTACTTCTACTACTACTACTACTACTACTATTACTACTACTACTACTACTACTACTACTACTACTACTACTGATCTTCCCCGCCATCCTCCCCCAAGTGGTTCCCGAAGGGTTTCCACGATGGCTGGGGGAATACATGGACCGATAGCTTGGCAGAGCTCAGGCCACGACGCTCGGCAGCACGGGCCATTACAAAAGGCAGGGGGCGGCGGTGATTCGCCGCAGGCGTCTTCGATACTCAGACTTTCCGTTCTGTGTGATGAAAAACGTCGGGTTGCAAGGCATGCGCTCGTCCCACCAAATCGCAGTTCTGTTTGAGGCTCCTGAGGTTTCCCAGGTCTCAGATGACGTGAAGATCTCGGGCATCGAGTCCCTCATTGCTTCAGCAAGATAAAACCGGGAAGCCCAGCACACTTGCCATGCCAACACCGCGCGGTGGATAAAGGAAAACCCGTGTGGTACATCCGAAGAGCCCATGAGTGAAAAGGTTCACAAGAAACTACCCGCTGGCTGCTGTGACAGCGCCTACATGGCTTCTGAGCCAGGCACACTTTTAGGAAAAAGGGGAAAAGCAGCAGCACAAGGAAAGGAACAGAAAGAAAGCAGAACGAAAAGGAGGACGAAGCACAGGATGAGCAGGGGGGAGGAGGTGGACGAAGACGAGAAAACGCATTTGGGAGCGAGAGGTGAGGGAGAAGGGCTGGGGAGATGGAGGAGCAGGGGGATGAGTTGGGGGAGGAACCGGAAATGGCAAAGGAGAGGACTAATGGAAAAGGAGTGGGAAAAGAAAGGGACATCCTCTGACCATCCAGGATGCGTTTGCCCATCGTCCCCCTGACGCAGCTGGCCTGGCTCCGCGCAAGCTTCCCCAGGCCTGGGCCGGCGTGGGGCCTGGAACCGTTTGCGCATATTTCGCGCGAGAGGTCTTCCAAATCCCGAATCAAAAGACGCGGCCCTATCGGTAGGTCCCGTGATGCCAAAACTCTGCTCATGAGGGCGGTCCGCTAAATCAGACGATGCAACCTTGTCGGCTGGACACGTCGAAATGTCACCAGAAGTCAACTCCTGGAGAAGGGGTTGGACCTCAAGATGCAGTCCTGGTTATCGGCATGTTGAGTCTTTCGTGCTGCCGGACCTCCACACTTCGGGACTCTTCTTACAAATGTAACACGAACCTCGGCGGCCATCCTTCTGCTAGAGCTCCACTCCGAGGACGCAAATTGATCGACGACCAGTCCCGTCTGCGGGTCGGAAGATGAGCATTCTCCCCAGGATGACTCTTGCCCACCAGGAGTAGCCGAAGCGGTTGGTCGTGTCTTCGCGCTGCCCGAAATTCGCCCCCAGGGACGGCTATGAGCCGAAAGATGCAGCCCTGTGTCGGCCGGACGGAGGGGGGGAGGAGGAGGAGGAGGAGGAGGAGGAGGAGGAGGAGAGGAGGAGGAGGAGGAGGAGGAGGAGGAGGAGGAGGAGGAGGAGGGAGGAGGAGAGAGGAGGAGGAGGAGGAGGATGAGGAGGAGGAGGAGGAGGAGGAGGAGGAGGAGGAGGAGGAGGAGGGAGGATGAGGAGGAGAGGGAGTAGGAGGAGGGGGAGGAGGAGGAGGAGGAGGAGGAGAAGGAGGAGGAGGAGGAGGAGGAGGAGGGAGGAGGAGGAGGAGAAGGAGGAGGAGGAGAAGGCCTGATATGGAAGTCCCAGGGACATCTCTGAATGGGAGAGCACCGTCCTGTCGGTCCGCCGTGCTTTCGCGTCGCCAGAACTCGGACCCCGGCACGACCCTACGTCTAAGAGAGCTCAGTCCACTCGGCCGCTCTGTACCTGGCGACGCCGGGATAGAACTCCCAAGGGCGATCGTCTTCGGTAAGCGTGCGGAAGTCGCACTTATTCTGATCGCGCCCCCACGCATCTCCACGACGACGACGACGACGACGACGAGGACGACAACGACGACGACGACGACGACGACGACGAGGATGAGGAGGAGAAGGAAGACAACGACAACAGCGACGACGACAGCGACGACGACAGCGACCACGACGACGACAACGACGACGATGATAGCAGCAACGAGAGGAGAACGACGACGACGACGACCACGACGACGACGACGACGACGACGACGACGACGACGACGACGACGACGCCGATGGCGACGACGACGACGATGACGACGACGACGACGACAACGAGGAGGACGACGAGGACACCGTCGCAGTGGCCCCCCTCGCGGCCCAAGAACGCTCCTCGCGGCCCAGGAGCGCCCCCAGACGGCACAAGAAGGCCACGGGAGAGCGGATCGGCGACTCGTCGCAGGCGCCTTCGATAACAGCGTGCACGTCCACATCGCCCCGAGACCCCCCCTCTTCCACCAGGCCTCCCACTTGCGGGTCGACGACCGCCTCCGAGCAGCGCGCTCCCCCTGGTCCCCTGAGCATCCTGACCAGGTAGTCACCGAGCGCCCGACTGCAGGCGGAGTCGCCTCGGCAATCATCATACTGGAAGCTCCTACCATTCCTGTCCGAATGAAGGCGGCCGTCTGCGATAAATCGCAGAGGGCGCCTGTGCGCAGCAGGGAGGAGGACTGGCTCGAAGTCAAGGGTAAAGTGGTGTCGTTGAGGATGAGGCTTATGCCCAACGATGCTGAGCCGTGTGTACCATCGCTGAATAGAGAGTTCGATGGCGTCAAGCTGCCCACACTCCCATGCCAGCCTTCTTTCCGTAGCTGCATTGCGCGCGCAACCGCCCCGAAGTGCCAATCGGTGCCCCTGAGTCCCCAGTTGTCGCAGACGTCAAACCGAATCTCCAGAGAACCAGCTCCGAGCCTGTCATCGTGGACCTCAGCTGGCGTTCTGTGCGCAGGCGGATGCTTCAAGAAAGAGAGAACGATCTGTGCGGGCGTGAGGGTAACCGTGCAGAAATCTGGACATGCGTGCGAGTGGGAGAGGACAGGACAGAAAGCGACGGATGGAGGGAGGAAAGACAGGAAAGGGAGATGGAAAGGGTGAGGGACCAGGACAAGAAGCGAAGGAACTAGAACAGAGACCAGGAAAGGGAGAGGGGGAGAGAAAGGGAGGACGATTACAGGCAAGGCTCCTTGCTCCTTGCAGAGTCTGTCCGCTCTTCCGAGAAGAAAAAAAACGTAGTGACCCCCAGCCGCCGCCTCAGGCACCGCGGAGTGACGCGATGAGGCCCTGGACGAACGCGGTCGCTGGAGGCGCGCACCAGTAGCCCAGCGCGAGCGCCACCCCCTGCTTGATCGCCCCGAGCGTGGTCGACCGGATGAAGTTGGACGGCTTGAAAAACTCCTTGAACGTGAGCTCCTGACCCTTGGACTGCAGGAGGAACCCCCGCCACTCATTGAAAGGCGCCGAGATGAGGCAGCCGAGGATCACCACAATGAACAGCAACTCGGGAGAGGTGATCGACCAGGCCGGGTTGAGCATGAGCGCCCCCATGGTGCAGTAGTTGCGCGCGATGCCGTACACGATGTCACGGATGACGGTGGGAGGGTAGGCCTCGTAAATGTTGCCCCAGTTCACCTCGAGGTCCATCGACTTGCGGTACCTGTAGTTCGTAACAGGCAGAGTGGCAGTGGTGAAGACGAAGCCTGTGAAAATTCCGCGGTACGTCGCGCTGACCGGGAACGCTGCGCAGAAGGCGTTGATGGCCTCGAAGAACGGGAACTTCAGGAAGTTGGTGGCCAGCGTCGTCTTGAAGAAGTTGAGCATCTGCGCCGCGCTCACGTCGTTGATGGCCTCCATGACCTTCATGCGCTTGACCAGCACGCGGTTCACGATGGGCTCGCCCACCGCCGACAGCGCCGCCTGGATGACCGAGGCGACCGCGCCCGCACCCATCGCGTTAATCACCTTCGAGGCGATGCTCACGGTCGGTGCGGCGGCAGCCCGGGCGGTGGCGCCACCCCCTGCGCGCCAGCCGGCGTCTGGGAGAGTCGCGGGGGCACGGCGGGTGAGCTGGTTGGCGACAGTGGCCTCGACGCCCACGCGGGCCGGGGCGGCCCCGGGGGCCGCGAACGCGGCGAGCGTCTCGCCGTCGGCGAAGTCCGAGATCTGCAGCTCGACCAGCAGCTGCGCGGCGAGAGCACCCAGGGCCACGTAGGCGAACACGCTGCTGCGCGACTGGCGGGCACGAGGCGCCATCTCAGGGGGGGGATGATGTTGCGAGGGGAGGCGCCTTGATGCTTGGCTTGGGCCGATGCCTGCTCACAGATCGACCGAGAGCCTCGTCCGACGGAGGCTGCCTCTTTTCCCCCCGAGACGGTACCCCCCACTGAACCTGGCTCATACACCGGGCCTGACCACCCATCCGGACCAGTGTGGCCCCACAACGAGCCCGCAGCTGCAACAACAGTCATCATAAGATTGATCGCTCTTGCTTGCTTGCGTGCGACTCAACCCCGAACCCTCGACTTCCGCCCTGACCGTCTATGAACGTACCCTCTTTGAGGGGACTGCTTTCATGCACTCCTACTCCTGGGTAAAGCCCGACAGGGACAGACAAGCAGGTCGGGCGGATGGACCGCAAAGGGCGGGCCAGGAGGGCAAACCTTACGGGGCTGGACGGGCAGGCGGACCCTAACAGGCCAGCGGGGCGAGCGAGACATCGAGGCGGGCGTGCTGGTGTCAAAGCGAGCGACCAAGCGGGCGGACCCTAACGGACCACTCGGGCGGGCGGGGCATTACATAGCTTGGCGGCCAGTGCCTCGGAAGCAGCTGTCGCCGCAGGTGGCGGTGCGTCAGAAGCAGCTGCCGCCGCAGGTGGTGAGGCTGTCGGTTCAGCAGGGGCTGAAGTCCCCTGTCCGCGGATGTGAGGTAGCTTCCACGGTTTGGCAAATTTGCATTCGCCATGTGTAAGTAAGTGGCCAGGCTTAGCCTTTTCCATCATATTTCTTTTTGCACTTTGGACAGTCCCAGTAATAATCCTCTTTGTCGTACCAAATACAGTGTTTAGGGTTTCTGCTGCTCGATGGGGAGTGCATGTTGACGTTGCCAGCAAACGAAGGACATCCCCTTCCTCTTGATGGTGATTGTACGATGCGCCCGTCAGGATGTCGAAAGATCGTTGGAGCATCCAGATCGAATCCGCGTGCGTTCGTGACAAGAGCAGATGACGCGTAAGGACGATCGTGAAAGGCATCACGGTTCACTGCGAAAACTTCATGTGCAAATTGAACTGCTTCGACGAAGAGGGATTGCATCTTCGGAGTGCACTGTGCTGCCTTGGCCAATTCCGTGCTGCAGACCGAGGCATGTTGGTGATGGCCAGAGCACCGTTTGTTGTCACATGTTGCCAAAGGGTGTCAGTAGTGAACGGTGGTTGGCCATTATTTCAAAAAGGTGCTGGTTTGGGGGGAATCTGGAGGTTCTCCTCTTGTCGGCTTCCCGACGCTCCAAGACGGCCCATGAGGCCCCAAAGATCGCCCTAAGACGGCCCGAGAGACTTCCAAGAGGGCCCCGAACTGGCCCAGGAGGGCCACCAGACGCTCCCGACAGGGCCCCGGGAGGCAGGCGGGCGGGCCCTTTGCGAGCGGGTCGGGCGGGCGGGCCCTGCTGGGCAGGTCGGGCGAGACGTACAACTCTTGAGTAAGGCATCGTGGAAATAATCAGGCGAGGGCGCGATTCTTGAGCAAACGGCGAGGAAGTCTCGAGTGACAGCGCGAGCCCCGACTGGATCGCGACGAGGTGCCGAGCGAGTGCGCGATGCCTCAACAGCGGGAGCTCGATTCTGAAATAAATGATGAGCAAGACCCAGGTGAAAGCCCGATTCTTCAGTTCATTGCGAGGAGGCCTCGAGCGAGAGCGGAACTCCAAAACAAATGAAGAGTTCAAGAAACTACTCAGGCGGGAGCAGTTGTTGCTATCGTCTGGGAGGACAGGGGGCGGGCCCCTGGGAGGGGGGCAGTGCACTTGCTGGGGCCGGGCGGGAACTCCACAGACATCCAAACGGTGACCAGCAAGTACGGGAGCCACGATGGGCAGGGTGTCTGTCGATCAAGGCGCTCGTTCAGAACTCCCTCAAAGCGCGAGGCCTTCCGCGACCGTAGCCGTGCCTTCCCGCTCATCGACCTCGCCGTTTCGCGACCCCGGGCTCGATCGAGCGCAGCGTCGACAGCCTCGCCACCCCTGATCGACGGCCTGCCCTGTACACGTCGTTCATGTCCCACTGCCCTCACGTCTACTTGTGCTCGGAGAGGCCCAGGATAGAAGAATTAGAAATGAACGGATCTTGGCCCCCCAAACAGCCAGGAATCTTCGAAGACTTAGACATGAACAACGTGTACCCCTGCAGAGTAAGGGCTCCTCCTGGGCCAGCGAGCCCCGCCCAGGCGCGCACGGAAAGAAAGCGTTGGGAGAGCGACGCCCGGCGAGCGAGGGCCGGACCCCGCCGGGCGTCGCGGGGCCGACGCCCGGAGGGGCAGGGGCGAGAGCACGAGAGCCGAGGGGGATGCCACGACAACGGGCACTCTAACAGTCCGATCATTGGATCAAAAATGTGTGTCAAACTGTGCGAAGCATGTTCTAAAAATGCTTCGGACGTGCGTTCTGCACGTTTTAAAACATGCTCGAGACATGTTCTCGACGTCTGGAAAGGATTTGGCAGCCTGCGTCCTCTCCACTAATCGACTTCCACAACACGAGAACCGCAGGGGACGCGTGGTGGGGCCCGGCGAGAGGAGGGGGTCGAGTCGGCCAAACACGCGCAGAAGAGCAGAAAACTGCGCAGAGACGCTCAGCGCGGGGGGCCGTGAGGGACCGAGCCTCACCCGCGTCGACGGGGAGGGGGGAGGGGGGCACGAGGGGGCAAGGGGCCAAGAGCCACCAGATCACCCCACAAACGAGCGAGCCACCATGGGGCCACCGAAGAGACGCAACTCACCGGATCGACCCATGAGCACCACTCCACACACACACACACACACACAAAGGAGGCACGAGGGGGCCACGGGCCACGAGCGAAGTAGCTGCAGCGAGACATGACCGCAGCAATGTGTTACAGCCCCCGCGGTTAGGCAAACTTTTGCGATACGACACTATTCCTGACCTTCCTGGAAGGGCGCCATCCTCGCACGCAGGGCGCGTCGCTTGCGACCTCGGTTCGACCGAACCGCAACGCCCGACAGGCTTGCCGCCACGGCACTGGACCAATATTGAAAAAAGAACGCCTACCCCTCTTGAGTCTCCCCCAGCCGCCGCCTCAGGCGCCGCGGAGTGACGCGATGAGGCCCTTCACGAACGCGGTCGCTGGAGGCGCGCACCAGTAGCCCAGCGCGAGCGCCACCCCCTGCTTGATCGCCCCGAGCGTGGTCGACCGGACGAAGTTGGACGGCTTGAAAAACTCCTTGAACGTGAGCTCCTGACCCTTGGACTGCAGGAGGAACCCCCGCCACTCATTGAAAGGCGCCGAGATGAGGCAGCCGAGGATCACCACAATGAACAGCAACTCGGGAGAGGTGATCGACCAGGCCGAGTTGAGCATGAGCGCCCCCATGGTGCAGTAGTTGCGCGCGATGCCGTACACGATGTCACGGATGACGGTGGGAGGGTAGGCCTCGTAAATGTTGCCCCAGTTCACCTCGAGGTCCATCGACTTGCGGTACCTGTAGTTCGTAACAGGCAGAGTGGCAGTGGTGAAGACGAAGCCTGTGAAAATTCCGCGGTACGTCGCGCTGACCGGGAACGCTGCGCAGAAGGCGTTGATGGCCTCGAAGAACGGGAACTTCAGGAAGTTGGTGGCCAGCGTCGTCTTGAAGAAGTTGAGCATCTGCGCCGCGCTCACGTCGTTGATGGCCTCCATGACCTTCATGCGCTTGACCAGCACGCGGTTCACGATGGGCTCGCCCACCGCCGACAGCGCCGCCTGGATGACCGAGGCGACCGCGCCCGCACCCATCGCGTTAATCACCTTCGAGGCGATGCTCACGGTCGGTGCGGCGGCAGCCCGGGCGGTGGCGCCGCCCCCAGCGCGCCAGCCGGCGTCTGGGAGAGTCGCGGGGGCACGGCGGGTGAGCTGGTTGGCGACAGTGGCCTCGACGCCCACGCGGGCCGGGGCGGCCCCGGGGGCCGCGAACGCGGCGAGCGTCTCGCCGTCGGCGAAGTCCGAGACCTGCAGCTCGACCAGCAGCTGCGCGGCGAGCGCGCCCAGGGCCACGTAGGCGAACACGCTGCTGCGCGACTGGCGGGCGCGAGGCGCCATCTTTAAGAGAGATGATGTTGCGGGGGGAGGCGCCTCAATGCTTGGCTTCAGCCGATGCCTGCTCACAGATCGACCAAGAGCCTCGTCCGACGGAGGCTGCCGCTGTTCCCCCCGAGGCGGCACCCCCCATTGAACCCGGGTGCGCGTTTCCCGCTTCGAGAGCCTTGAGTGTCACTTATCCGGCGCATACCAAGCGTGACCGCTCATCCGGACCAGCAAGGAGGCCCCACGACGAACCCGCACCGCAGCAGCAACAACAACAATCATTTTGAGACTGTTCGCTCTTATCTACCCGCGTGCCAATCAACATGTATATCCAAAACCCTAGATATTCGCCCTTTCTGTCTCCGATCATATCCCCTTGATCATGTACCCCTGGGAGGTATATCTTCCTTACCTTCCACGTGTAGTTGACGCAGCCCCTGAAACATGGGAAAGGAGGAGAGAAGAGACAAGGGGGAGAGACAATGAAGTAGCACGACAGAGATTAGGAGGATGTGGGTTAGGAGCAGGAAAACAAGCGGCAGAAACAGACGGGCGAGTCGGGCGGGTGGCCCTTACGGGCGGGTCGGGCGGGCGGGTAGACGGCGGGGTCGAGCGGGCGGGTCGCTAAAGGGTCAGTCCTGCAGGGATCGCGATGAAGACTTTAGCGATTGCGCGATTCCTAAATGCGCCGACCCTGTCTGCGTGTGGAAGAGACTGTTCCATTTGACTTGTCTTCGTCGACGTCGTCGTCGTCGTCGTCGACGTCGCCGTCGCCGCTCCCGCTCTTTCCCTGGGCCCGTCGCCGCTCTCTCCTTTTCCTGGACCCTCCTCCTCAAGCGCGCCAGTCAAAACGAAATTGAGCAACGTGGGGGGGGGGGGGGGGGGGGCACGCGGGGGGGTCCCGGGGGTGGGTCCTGGGGGGGTCCCAGGAGGGTCCTGGGTCAGAATACCACCCCTCCCTGGGGGGGGGGCTGGGGCCCAAAAAAATACCCAGACGAGCCAAGAGTGCCACAAGAGGTCCCCAAAACGGTCCAAGAGGACCCCGAATCGCCGAACGATCGGTCCAAGACGTCTTCACGGCCCCCACACGGCCCAAGAAGGCTACAAGACGCCCCAAGAGGCCTCGAAGGGTACTCCCAAGAGAACCCCAAGAAGCAAAATGAATTGATTTCCCGCACCTTTTTCATGGATGTGGGCGTTCTCACCTTCTCAGCTTCCCGACGCTCCAAAACGAGCTGAGAGGCTCCGACGATCGCCCCAAGAGGCCTCCAAGAGGGTCCCGAAACGGGCCAAAGAGACGGCCCAAGACGCCTGCAAGACGGCCCAAGAGGCCCCCAAGAGGGGCACAGAAGGGTGCCCAGACATGGGAACCAAACGGAGATTTCGAGCCCCCGGCCCCGAGAGGCTCCCGGGAGAACCAAGAGGCCACCACAAGGCCTCCAGGAGTCTCCAAGAGGCCCCCAAGAGGCCCCCAGGAAGCCTCAAGAGGCTACCAATCCCAAGAGGCCTCTAAGATACTCCCAAGGGGCCCCAGAAACCGCCCCCCAGTGGCCTCCGAGCGCTCCAAAGAGACCCCAAACGGAATCCCTGAGGACTATGACCCACGTCAGCGTCGTCGTCGTCAACGTCGTCGTCGTCGCCGTCGTCATCGTCGTCGTCGTCGTCGTCGTCGTCGTGGTCGTCGTCGTCGTCAATGGCGTCGTCGTCCCCCTTCAGGGTCGGCGGCACCGGCCGCAAGGCCTTCGCAATAAATCGTGCGGGAATCCAAAGCGAGGACGTGATTCCTGTGTGTTGGGGGGCGCGGCGTCTCGACACTTTGCCAGCAAGTAGCACGCGAGAGCGCGATCCCTGCATAAAATGCGAGAAAGTCCTGCGCGAGAGCGCGATTCTGAATAAAGTGAGCAGAAGTATCAAGTGGGAACCGCTGTTGTTGTCAATCAGGGCCCGGCAAGACTTTCCCTTTCGAAATCAGAGTGCAGGCACCAGGAGGGACACTTCAATTGAAAAATACATGGTGCACCGGGAGGAGATCAGCAATACTGTATGAACAAGAGTTCAACGATGCTCAAAAAAACTATTCGCTCTTACCTGGTCGAGTGCCATTCAACACATACATCCCAAACCCTCGATACAGCCCTCTTCTTCTTCGATCATACCCCTCTTGGGGGTACTTCTTCCTTGCAAGCCCCCCCTAACCCGACGCCAGGGCCCCTAACCTGACGCCGCCCTCGCTGGCAATGGACCCGTTTTTGAACGCAACATGACGCCAGGTAGTTAACCTGACGCCACCCCGCCGGCAGTCGCCCAGCGCACGCCCACTGTTCGGGCGAGAGTACCGCTCCCGATCAAGATCGTGGCCGGCGCTCGAGCGGCAACGCCATATCCGATAAAGGAAGTGCCTGGCGCTGACGCGGGAGTCTCATACGGAAGGATGCGGCAGCCAACGACTACGACAAGCGGCGCCACAGGCACTACGACGACAAGCAACACAACCAGCAGCAACACCACCAGCAGCACCACCGCGACGACGACGCCCAGCACCACAACCGCCACCACCCTAACCGTGACCAACACCGCCACGACGACGGCGACCAGCAGCCAAATGACTACGACCAGCAGCGCCACCAGCATTACGACGACAGGCAACACCAGCAGCACCACTACCACCACTACGACGACGCCCAGAACCATCACCGCCACCACCACTTACGCGACCGCTTGACCGGGTGGGCCCCGCTGCAGGCCCCTCTGCAAGCTCCCACCAACTCGGGCGCCCACGTGCCCCTGCTGCTGGCGGCGGCTGGACTGCTCGACCTGGCAAAGGCGGAACAGTGGAGCGCGCGCCGCCTCATGCAGGACTGGTGGCAGCCGACGGTGGAGGCATTGCGGCATTCAGAGCCTGTCCTCGCGGAGCAGCTCGCCCAGGGACTCGAGTTCGCGGGTACCCGCCCCGGGCGGTGCACGCTGCGATGGCAGCCAGCAGCGGAGAACGCCCTGGACACGTGCACCTGGCGCCCATCGTCCGAGCTCTGGCGGACAGCACGGGCTACATGGCCAACCACGTGCAAGACCTCCTGCTGGAAATGTTCCGGGGCGCGAGTCTGGCTGGAGGCGTGGACCGGCGCACAGACGAGCTGCGAGATCCAGCGAGGTGGGCAGCAGCACTGCGGCTGGCCCCGCCGCCGCCGGGGCCCCAGGGCCCCGAGGAGGGCGACGACGGCGCGGGAGGACGAGGAGGAGGAGGAGGAGGAGGAGGAGGAGGAAAAGGCAGAGGCAGAGGAGGCGAAGGAGGCGAAGGAGGCGGCGGCGGCGGGCTGGAGAGGGACCCCGACGACGGCGACAACAACTCCAGCGAGAGCAACTCCAGCACCGACGAAACCAACCACGACGCCGACAACGCCTACGCCCCAGCACAGCGAGAGGGACCTGACGAAGCATCCTGGGCAGCCCCAGGAGACATCAACCTCCAACACGAATTCCGGAAGCTCCTGCCGACGCTGCAGAATGTGCCACGTTCATTTTTCATACCGCAGCGACGGGGGCCAGAGCACCGCGCGACCGCGAGCGACGCCCCAGCGCGCCCCCCCCGCGCGCGGCCCCCTCAGGTCGCAGCCGCCCCTGCGCTCCCGGGGCAAGGCCACGGGGCCGACCCCGTCTCGAGCAGGGTCTTTCACCCCCGTCGTGGGTCGGCCCAGGCGCCACCGCAGCCACCGGCGCCCTGGCCTCGCGGCCAGTGCGACCCCTCCCCGACGGGCACCTACGGCATGGTGCGAAGGGGGGCAGAGCTCGCTCCTCCTCCTCCTTCCCGGCCGCTGGCGGCGCGGGGACGGACAGCAGCCAGGAGGGCGGGCGAGCGGTCGGGAGAGTAGAAAAAAAGAAAGGGCGCACGAGGCACCGGGCAATGGGCAGGCAGATGGCTCGGAGAAAAGCCGCCGCCCCAGACGCACAGAGCTGCGCGGCTGCACTGAGCCCCCGGGCGCGGCAGCCTCGCCCAGCCCTGAAAAAGAGCAAAGACTGGGAGACAACAAATAAAATTATACTAATCTATAAATCACCTAACAGCGAAGATTGATAGGTTTCTAATGGACTCAAAAGAAAACATTTTGACTCCCCACGGGGATCTGGGCGGGTGCTGGGAGAAGCCGGGGAACCCGGGGACTCCCCAGAACATTATCCCAGGCCACATTTTGACTGCCCGGAGCCAACAGAACACAACTCCCAGGCCACATTTTGAATGCCCAGAGCCAACTGTAGGCCACTTTCGTGTTCTTCGTCTTCACAGAACACCATTCCCAGGCCACATTTTGAATGCCCGGAGCCAACTGTAGGCCACTTCGTGTTCTTCGTCTTCCCAGAACACCACTCCCAGGCCACATTTTGAATGCCCGGAGCCAACTGTAGGCCACTTCGTGTTCTTCGAGTTCCCAGAACACCATTCCTGTGTCATATTTTGATTGCCCGGAGCCAACTATGCGCCACTTCCTGACCTCCGTGTTCCCAGAACACCAGTCCTGTGCCATATTTTGAATGCCCGAGCTGAGGCAAGCTGAGGCCGAGGCAGGCTGAGGCCGAGGCAGGCTGTGGCTGAGGCTGAGGCACGCCGAGGCAGGCTGAGGCTGAGGCTGAGGCATGCTGAGGCTGAGGCAGGCTGAGGCTGAGGCTGAGGCCGAGGCAGGCTGAGGCTGAGACCGAGGCAGGCTGAGGCTGAGGCTGAGGCCGAGGCATGCCGAGGCAGGCTGAGGCTGAGGCTGAGGCTGATGCTGAGGCAGGCTGAGGCTGAGACAGGCTGTGGCTGAGGCTGAGGCAGGCTGAGGCTGAGGCAGGCTGAGGCTGAGACTGAGGCAGGCTCAGGCCCAGACAGGCTGAGGCTGAGACTGAGGCTGAGGCTGTGGATGAGGCCGAGGCAGGCCGAAGCTGAGACAAGGTGAAGCTGAATGGGGGGGCAGGGGGGAGTGGAAGGGGGGGAGGAGGGGAAGCTGATGCAGGCTGAGGCCGAGGCAGGCGGAGGCCGAGGCAGGCTGAGGCTGACGCTGAAGCAAGCCGAGGCAGGCTGAGGCAGGCTGAGGCTGAGGCTGAGGCAGGCTGAGGCTGAGGCATGCTGAGGCTGAGGCAGGCTGACGCTGAGGCTGAGGCCGAGGCAGGC